CAAGACTACACTCGGGACAAATAATATTAAAGACAAACAATATTAACCTATTCTCAATTTGACCACAGACTTTAAGCAATAACAAAAGGTTGACAATAAACAAAGAGTATATTATATGTGTGTGTGTCTCAAATACATGGTAGTGTGTGTAATGTTTTTTTATTGATTTAATGTATCATTAATACATAATTTTAAAAAAATATTAGTATTATATCGATACACACAGCATGTTAAAATAAATAACACTTTTTGATAGTCTTCTTATAACGGGTTTATAAAGCTCCGATAGGTCATCATCAACGAGATCTAAACTATTAATGTTGTAATTTGTACAATGCAATCATTGCAGTAAATAGATCCGACTTTAGTTTAGTTACTTCACTGCTGGCGTCCATGGGCGACGGTAACTACTCACCACCACCACCCGTATACTCGTCTGCCTACAAGAGCAATAAAATAAAAAATTACAAAATGTACTCACTGCCGGTCACAACGATGAGCACGTGCTCCTCTTGACCCAACCGACCGAACCTCATCACCGAAGCGACATCTAAACCAGAATAAACATCTTAAATAACTATACAGTCAGTGGAATACCGTAACCAACCCACGTGCCTAAGACATAAGGTCGAAATTTCATTTGCGTATCCGCTGGGTCGATCTACAAAGCGGAGTGAATGACTGCTTCAGGACAGCAAAATTTTACTGGTGGCAGGACCACTTGTGAATCCGCGCGGGTAGGTACCACCACCCTGCCTACTTCTGTCGTGAAGCAGTAATGCGTTTCGGTTTGAAGGGTGGGGCAGCCGTTGTAACTATACTTGAGACCTTAGAACTTGTATCTCAAGATGGGTGTAGCATTTACGTTGTAGATGTATATGGGCTCCAGTAACCACTTAACACCAGGTGGGCTGTGAGCTCGTCTACCCATCTACGCAATTAAAAAAAAAGGCAGGGCAGGTGGAGCTTCACTGTGCCTCAATACGCTTCACCTATCATCTAATTGAAGTCTTAAAAGGACTCACAAACATATTGTAGAAGTTCGAAAAAATATTCTTTGGGTGTTATTTAAATGGTTAGCATAGTATTCGTATTTTGGTGAGCAGAAAAATATAATCTGTGAGCAGAAATAGCTAATTGATCAGCAACTCGTGGCCGGCTAACAATCCAAAACCAGTCAGCAATTTATGTCATTCTGGATGGTTGTAATTATTTTTGTACAGCATATTAATCATATAAGCTGCAATGGGCTGCTCCTATTTAATAAATTTCTTTAACATAAGCGGAGCCAGTGTCCTTAGTGCGACTTTTTTAACGTTCTCGATAGCGTAAAAGTTAACTCATATTTGTATGGAATTAGAACGTTTGCCTACGTTTGCCGCTAGGGGCGCTGTTCCAACTGCATACAAAATTGGGCTAACTTTTACGCTATCGAGAACGTTAAAAATCTCGCTTTTTTTCCTACCTAAGCCGATAGTCTTGAGAGGCTATATCAGCGTCGCCTTAACTAGTAGATGAGCTCAAGGGGCTCAAACCTGATGACGTTGCTAACACGAACCCTAGCAAGAGACGTGCTTCGCAGAATCTACCACCGGATCGGAAACGCGACCCACTGAGAAGATCCGGCGAGAAACTCAGTGGGCTGTGTCTGTGGGTTAATTTACTCGCTTGCGACGAAGGGCTCGACGAGAACGATGGCCGGAAAAATTCGCACTAAGCACACTGAAGCAAGAGTATAAAGGAAGTCTAAAGGACAATAAAGCAGATTGAAATCAGCGTAAGCGCCTGACGAAAAAACATACAATTTGATTAAAACTCATTTGCTATTTAAATCGCCAGTTGATTTTGGTAAAAAAAAAACGAATTAAAATCATCACATTAACACTTTGGTGCAACCGAGTAGACGGACTCAGAAGCTCTGATATTAAATTGTTAGGAGCCCCCGCGCGGTTAAGCGTGGTCTGCCACAAGGTAGACCGAAGACCTTTTGAAGGTTGCGGTAATCCGCTGGACGCAGTGCAGGACTGATCATTGCGACTTGAGGCTTGGTGGAAGCCCATGTCCAGCAATGGACTTCTGTGGACCGAAAGATTGATACGAGTCCACAAATTATCAAAATGTGAATACCGCCATTCACCTTGAGTTATGAAATTTAAGCCTCAAACTTTTATAACGTTTACTTTACTCCTGTACTTTTTTTTATTGTTTCGATGGGTGGACGAGCTCAGATCCCACTACAACGTAAATGCGCCACCCACCGTGAAATATAAGTTCTGAGGTCTCAGTATAGTGACAAGGGCTGCCCCGCCCTTCGAACCGAAACGCATTACTGCTTCACGGCAGAAATAGGCAGGGCGGTGGTACCTACCCGTGCGGACTCACAAGAACTCCTAGCACCAGTACATCCCTCGAATCCTTTACGACGCCCACCGGAAGAAGTCAGGTGATTTTTTCCTAGGGAACATCTCCAAAAACAGCCAGCTACCTCTAACAAACAATGTGTCCAAACGCGCTTTCCCTTCATAGAAGTGGACGTGCCCTGAAGTCAGCGCCACCCCCACTAAGGTGACTCCCAAATGCAGTACCGGCACCAGAGTCATCGATATCGGCCTGTGCTCCAAGTTGACGCACCACTGCTTCTTACCCTGAACAGTTACGTTTAGTTCAGAATTTAATAATACAAAAAATAAATAATAGTTTAAAAAAACTAACAAAATACGCTTTTATAGAAAATCCAACTAAAAAATATAACATAAATTTTAATAAATTTGAGTTATAAATAATGCAAGAAAAATGATTTTATTGTAAAAAAAAGCGTGGGGCGCTTTTCAGGATATTATCAAAATAACTTCTGCTCATATGTTCATTAAATATTTATAACTACCTACTGATACCATGCACTCCACGCTTTTTATTACAAAAGCGTATTTTTTTAGTTTTTTTAAACTATTATTTATTTTTCATTTTTTAGTTGAATTAAAATTTTTTCATCGTTTTTTTTTTTATTTTTTTTAATATTCAATTATGACCAGTCCTTAATAAGTATGCCAAATTTCGAGATAATCCGACCTTTTGAAGGGGGTCAAAATCATGTTCAAAGATTCCGTTACAAACATACATACGTCTGAAGCTAATAAAAGCGAATTAATAAGCTTTGTCCATTGGAGATACATGCCTTTTTGGTGTAACACGACATCGTGTTGTCTGTACATATAACTATGATGCTTTCATCGGCGGTGATGACCTCTATAGATATGATGTGTTCCTCTGTATTGAATAGTATGCGCCCTTCGGTGGATTCCCTCTTCAATACGCACACTGATTTCTCCCTGAAAATATTAGCGCACGCATGCGCGGTACAATTGGACTTTTATATCAGGTTTTTTTTTAATCATTATCATCAAGATTATCAGCGTATAGGCATCCACTGCTATACCTAATCGTCCTCCGAAATTCCCCATAACGACCGTATTCATCGGTCTTTTTATTTTTATAAAACCTTGCAAGAATACTTAAGCAAGAATATTTAAAAAAAAATAAGCAAAAAAATGTTAAAATAACATCACATACAAACGGTGCCAGATGAGATTAAACAAAATCTAAATACTTGCTAAAGAAAAGAAGTTGAAAACGCTTGTAGTGTCCGAGATCATCGCATTAAAAAATGGTTTAAAAGTCGGTTAGAGTTTATCTAACAGAACTCTTATTGTGCAGATGAAAACTCGAGTGAAACATTAACATAGACCTCACGATATTGTTCGTTCTTTACGTAAGCAAAGAAAGGTAAGTGTCTAGAAATACTTTCTATACAATATTAAAACGTTAGCACAATATTCCGATAATCACAAATACTCGTAATACCTTAGTTGTAAGTGGCTACAAAAACTGTAAAGTATTCATCATCATCATCATCATCAGCCTTTATCTGCCCACTGCTTGGGAAGTCGTTGGATGCGGAAGGCGGAGGACCGCATTATTTGGAAGGCATTGGGGAAGGCCTATGTAAAGTATTCGAATCGGCAAAAATGAATACAAGTGAAAATAATAAAGGCGCGGTTAAACCGTAAAAATAGTTTTAATTAGGTATTACGATCTACGACTCGTGAAAACAAAAGAAATGACAATACAAATAAAATCGTCCGTGACCATGAAAACTGTAAAGTAGTAGGTATTCGAAAAGTTGGAAACAATATTATGACAATTAAAAAAAAAACATATTAAACCGCAAAATTACTTTTAATTGTGTCTACAACTCGTTAAACACAAAAAAAAAGTAACAAAGAAAGGTTAAATTTAAAAATGTTTTCAATAAGACGACCAAGTTCTTTAATGTGCCATATTTTCAAATTTCATTACAATATCTTCACGTAATTTTCAGAGGGTATTTGCAAATAAATTTTAAGTAGCACAACGTGCAGAATAAACTAAAAGATTAATACCAAAGCGGAAATGAAACTCAGAAGAAGCTAAGCATTACAAGTGCATTTATGTACTGGTAGAGCATGTTTTTAGCTGCCCAGGTAAACACCTAAAGCCCTCTTATTTCTAATGCAAAGCAATTACGTGTTCTAGTTTGAGGGGTAGGACAGCCACTGTAATAGTCGTGACACCAATTTTTTTACCTATTTTAGTGAACTTAAGGGGTCATTCTAGATTCACCGAACGAATAGGTGAGCTCACGGGGCTCTAACATGTGGACGTTGCTAACACTGGCTCTAGCAAGAGCAGTGCTTCGCAAAATCTACCACCAGATCGGAAACGCGACCCGCTGAGAAGATCCGGCGAGAAACTTAATGGGCTGTGTCTGTCGGTTAATTTACTCGCCGAGCCCTTCGTCGCAAGCAACGGGTTCGACAAGAACGATGTCCGGTGCTCGAGATACCTAGAAGCACCGTTAGTGGATCGGGAGGATCCGAAACTTATTTATGTGGCTTTTGAAGCATTAAAAAACTGCTTGGGTGCAAAATTGAAGCATTAATAGCTTAAAATTAATCTCACACCTTGACGCAACTGTAATTCTGTAGTCAACATTATACAATCCGGTTGTTATCATTCTGTAAGGTGTTTTCTTCATTGGACATAGTTTAGCCTATATGAGAACAAACATAGTCACCATAAAGCTTTGGATGTAATATGAGACGTACTTTTCGAGTTCTAGCGGGTTCTAGTTCCTATTTGACGTATCCGGCATAATACAGTCGATTTTTATATTACGTGGTTATTATGTTCAGAGATGGATTTAGGCTTGAGGCCGCCCTAGGCCTTGTTTATCGCGCCATCCCTAACGTTAGAATTAATTTTATTAATTTTCAATCCGATATTTTCATTTTAAATTTTAAACATATTTTTTTTATACAATTTATTTGAACTGATTTTCATAAGAGACGGTCTCTACTTTTTTCTTCTCTGAAAATTTGCCGCTCTAAATCCGAGCTTCACGGGCATAAATCTACCACTGATTAAGTGGCCAAATTGTGAAATTTTGGCAATTAGTCCGGAGGGAAGCGCGCACCACGGCCCTTCATCAGGGTTGCTATGTTTTTATGATAAAAATAATTCACAGTGTGGCTATATTTATGTGTCTTTCTGGTTGACTGTTTAAATTTTGTTTGTAAGGTACTTATAAGATTTCTTGAAAAAAATTGTTCATTTCTTTGTAGCTTTATAGCCTATAATATATTAGTGAATTTGTTAAATTTTGTTTCTTTAGGACAAATAGATTGGACTGTAACTATGACTCTTAATTGCTTATACTAATAGCTTACCCATTGTTGTAAGTTCAATTTTTAGAAGCTTAATAATGAATTGCTCTGCTTTTAATAAACCCTAAGTACAGTTTAGAATCTCTTTTATTAATAAAAGATTACAAACCTGCGACAGAGTTGTAAATGTTTGGGGATCCAAAATAATAATGTAACCATCTTCTGTACCAACTACCAAACAACTCACAGAATACTGGTCTATTGAGTTCATCTTCAATGTACTGATGCATGTGATCTCTGGAGGTTTCCACATAGGTAGTTCGGCAGCTTGTTCTAGGTATTCCAACTGCTGGTCTAAGGTAAGAGCCAGGAAATTCTGAGATTGCAGACTTAATATCTTCGGAGGAATAGCTTTTAAATTCTCTTGGAGTATTGTTATCATTTCTGGTGTCTGATTTTCTGAGTTTATTAGCTGAAGTTTTTAAAAAGGTATTTTTTATTTATTATAATGGCAGCAGATGACCATGCATCCCTCCTGATCAACGTGAGAAATGCCAATGACACAGTGTACACATCTGCCTACAAAATGTATGAAATGTATAGTTCAGTGGGCTTAGTGCGAGTTATTTAACGTTCTCGATAATGAAAGAGCTAATTTAAATTTGTATGGAGTTGGAACATTCGCCTATGTTTGCCGCTAAGGGCGCTGTTCCAACTGCATACCATTTTTTTATTTTTTTTATTGCTTAGATGGGTGGACGAGCTCACAGCCCACCTGGTGTTAAGTGGTTACTGGAGCCCATAGACATCTACAACGTAAATGCGCCATCCACCTTGAGATATAAGTTCAAGGTCTCAAGTATAGTTACAACGGATGCCCTACCCTTCAAACCGAAACGCATTACTGCTTCACGGCAGAAATAGGCAGGGTGGTGGTATCTACCCGCGCGGACTCACAAGAGGTCCTACCACCAGTAATCTCGCAAATTATTATTTTGCGGATTTGATTTTTATTACACGATGTTATTCCTTCACCGTGGAAGTCAATCGTGAATCGTTGTTGAGTACGTATTTCATTAGAAAAATTGGTACCCGCCTGCGGGATTCGAACACAGGTGCATCGCTTCAACATGAATGCACCGGACGTCTTATCTTTTAGGCCACGGCGACTTCAAATCTGAGTTAACTTTTACGCTTTCGAAAACCGGCCTTTCATACCACATTACTGCTTTTTGGTAGAAGTTGTTTCTATGGTAATACCACCTGGGTGAGCTAACAAGACGCCCTACCAACTTAGTACCAGGGATATTAAAAATTACCTGCTTCCAAATGTCCATCTCGTGGACGCTCAAATCAACCGATGGCAATAGATATTTGTAAAAAAACTTCATATTTCTGTATAAGTATACTGCAGAGCTGAATGCCACAGCTATGATTGGCATGGACCTTGGCATTGCCTCTGACGTATAGAAACCAACTATGCCAAGGGGTAGTTCTGGTAACAGGATGTCTGATGTTTGCATTGTTCCTTTGAATACCTGAAATTGTATACATTTAATAACTTAGTTTGACTTTATCACAACTAGGGAACCTAAAAAAATGGGAACAATAATGAAGTCAAGTGTTGTCAAGTGAAGTCAGCCCCCAAACACGGGTAGGTGCTTTAAATAAATAAAAACCATGACACAGAGCCAATAATTTCAAACCCTTCAAAAAATAGTGATTGTTCTGCAAATAGAAATTATTATTACTCTAGAAAACTATACCTATAGTTATAGTTTATAATAAATTAGACTAATACACAATTATTCTGTACTAATATTTTTTTAGTAATGCTTTAAGGTAGATACAATATCAGTTTATTTAAAAATAGCACAATATTTCAATGTTAGGTATATTTCTAGATGCTTTTTTTGGTTTATTTTAATTTATAATTCCAGTGAAAGATAACTTTCTTACTTACCTTAAGTTTAGGGCCCTCTTCGCCTTTTCCAAAATCAGCGACCAGTAGTTTATAATCTTTATCATTCTGCAGATCGACAAGAGCTAAATTAGACGGCAAAGTATTTAGATCTATATCATCTGTACCTACTTCCACGTCCAACCAGCGGGACATACTGGTCATCTTAAAGCCTAACTTAGCTGAACTTAGGAATTAGCTATAAAATTAAATATTTCAGTAACTGTGTGCAGAATCACCAATTAATTAGATATATGTACACAGTGTATAAATACGTGGGATTAATTGCACTTTACGCGAGACTAAGGCGTTTAAGTAGTTTAAGCAATGTTTATAGCTTGCAACGGTCTCTATGTTTATTTTGTGTTTGTTACTTCCTCGTAAAATGTGATGTACATAGCTTAATTTAAATTATGCACTATTTAATAAGGTACAGCTAAATACAAACTGGAGGAAATACAAACTCTGTTGCTATGGCAACCAAAGTTTTTCTTTTCTCCCGTTAATAGCAAAAGAGCTGGCTTCTTCAAGTTCAGTTGAAATTCATTCGTTAACTTTATGCAGTTTTCCAGATCAACGTTCTTTTTAAAAATTATTAATGCTTTTAAATTTTCAACGAATTATTAGTGTCTGAGATATTAAAATTGAAAAGAGCACTACCTATATTATTTTATTTATATTTATTTTGTTTGAAACGTGTAAAATGGTTTATAAACCGTTTAACACGCACAAGCAAAGTACACAAATAAACAATGACACAAAATTGCTGGAAGCAGTTTATTGGGTTGTTTCGAAAAGTCCATTGAATTCTCTGTAAGAAGTCTGTTAATTGCCGGCTTCTATCAACCAAAAACCAATACCTACGGGGTTTTGTAATTTCATTTCATGCAATTTTTTTTCATAATCTGTTTTATTCCTTTCCATTTCATTTTTAATACAAAAGAGAAGTGTGTGTGCTTCTTTCCTTTTACTCATCCAATCGACGCACCAAAGAAAAAATAACTTTGACAGTGACAGAACTGTGTTTATTTTGTTTTTGTGTGAAATTGTGGACGTTAAACGCGAAGTCTTGAATTTTAATGTCTTTGTGACGTGAACCTCAATAACTTTTCAAAACAATTTCAAAGTTTAGTTTTTATAAAATACAATTTTCAGTTTTCGAATGCGACTTGAATTTTTGTAGGTGAGTACTTACCTACTTTAAATTTATTTAAATAAAATTCTAAATTAATAAGGAGCTAGCGGAATATTTATAAGAAATTTAAGTTTTATGTATAATATCTGACTGTAAAATAAGTTTTAAAAATGAATTGCTCATAGTGAATTTCCGCAATCTTGTAAACTTAATATGTGGTCGGTATATTCTGTATTTCAAAAACAATCCTATTAAAAAACAAAAGTGTTCCAATACTTTAAAAAAGTAAATTATTAGTAAATCTATAATACTAGTTTTCTAATTCATTTCGGTACATAAATAAGCAATATTGATAAGTTAAGCCTTAAAATTATTTTTGTAAATATATTTTTGCTCACATGAATTATTAATATGATCACTGATATCTTATCATATCAACATTATCAATATACATAATGAATAATTTATAAATCAATCAATCACACTGTAGATTAAAAATAAAAACTTTACATTAAAATGAATAGTCAATTGGTCCTAAAATGAATAGTCAACCTAGGTCTCATTACTGGCTAACTTCTTGGGGGATCTAGATTAGATATAAAAACCTTCCTGCCAACAATATTAAATGGTAATTTTATGGATTTGACTTACAGGAGATGAACTCTACACTACTAGTACAAATCTTAATTGAAATCTAAAGCCAAATATTTTATGGTGAAAAATGTTTAATATGTTTATACTCTAAGTATTTCTATCTATTCTATCTACTTTATTCTTATCAATAAGTATTTCTATAAAAGTGTTTAAATGTTTACAAGCTGCAGTAACTGTGTAACATTACAAAGACAGTGAGCTTGGCTGTCAGTATAAGCTGATAAAAACTACATGTAAGACAATGTTTATGACTATCATATTCTGGTTAATCCAATCTAACCAAATTTTCCCTTATTCTATTGTTATGAACAGAGTATGATACTGCGATTGTGGGTTCCTAGGATGCCTTGTGAGTTCACAGCAATAGTTCAGTGACAAGGCAGTGATATGTTCTTCTTTGAAGGCTATACAATTGAGGACTTGATCTCATAACTCAAGGTCCGTTGTGACATTCACATTGTATTGTGTTTTGTCTCTAATAAACACATAACACTACCAGGCAGTGAACTATATGCAATAAACAAAAAGAGATTTTACAGGTGGTAGGACCTCTTGTGAGTCCGCACAGCTAGGTAATGCGTTTCGGTTTGAAGGGCGGAGCAGCCGTTGTAACTATACTGAGACCTTAGAACTGATATCTCAAGGTGGGTGGCGGCATTTACGTTGTAGATATCTATGGGCTCCAGTAACCACTTAACACTAGGTGGGCCGTGAGCTAGTACACCTATTATGGAATAAAAAAGAAAAATTGCTTTCAAATAAGAACAAGATTTTGCCACAGAAATATGCAATATTGTACAGCTTGTAAAATAACCTTGATGAAGTTTAATTTGCTAAAACTATACTAATAGCCTGCTATTACTCCTTTGAAAGTATGGGTAAGATTTGAATTGAATTGAGAAATCAAAATAATAATAATTATTGGATATATTAAATCAGATGAAGAGGAAATGAAATCATCAAAGAAAAAATATTCTCCATATATAAAAAAAACCCAGAGGAATACTGTTATGAGTCATCAATGAATTGGATTCCAATAAAAAGTAATAACTTGTTCCTATTTGTATTTTCCTTTCTGTTGCTCAATTCCCAACTTATACACTGATTCATAAACCTGTTTCTAGCCGTTCTATTCTGGCTTGCAAAAAGGAAAGGAAATTATTTATATTTTCCAAAAAATAAATTCATTATTTACTTAATGGATCATTTACCATACGTTACCTTAGTTTTGGTCAAAGTCACGAAAAGCTAAATGAGTTTTTGACTATCTATCCTTTGTCTGAATATTTGTCAAGTTAACAACCATGTATGTACCGTCTCAATCTTTAATTTCTTGAATACCAGTTCTTAATACCAGTTCCGCCAGTGTACCCCATTTTTACAACGAATTCTTCGAATGTGTATCTTATATTTAATTCTAACCATTTTAAATAGGACATCGCACTTTCAACTGATCACAATACTTCACAATTGTTAAAATGAATGAACCACTCATTGTACGTATTAGATTGGGGAGAAAACTACTTGCAATTTCTAAAATACTTATTCTTATGATTAAATTGTCGTGTTTTAGCTACAGTCTGCACTACATCAATCAGCTAATATTTTTTGTAAAATCCACTAGCTACTACATGAAAAACATATTTTAGAAATATTCTTTTCGGTATTCGCGAGTGACAGACATAAATATAAATAAGGTTATCTATGTAGTAGGTACTTTAATCCCGCGTTTTGATTGTCAAATTTCGAATACAGTTTTCAGTTTACAGTTTTCGTGGGCAGTGAACACTCACACACGATATATAATAATAATATAAATACAACGATAAAAAACAGTTATAGTAGTTTTATATGTTATGGTACCTACGTGAAATTTTGAGTTTTTATTACAGAGACATTTAATAAATTAAGACAAACAGAGCTAGTTCATTGTAATGTTTTAGTTGAATGACCGTAGCGAATGAGCCTGGAATGTCTCGCAACTCTGACCGAGACGGGTACATAGCAAGTTTTTGCTGAACTTTATAAATGACACTTCGAATTTATTAAGGTCAAGTTTAGCAAAATGTTGTAAAACGCCACAAAAAAACATTACATTATTTAGTTTCGTAATCATAAATATAAAATAGGTACAAATATTTTTAACGTTTTTATTTTATTTTATTGCTTAGATGGGAGGACGAGCCAACGGACTACCTGGTTTTAAGTGGTTACCGGAGCCCATAGACATCTACGACGTAAATGCCGCCACCCACCTCGAGATACAAGTTCTAAGGTCTCAAGTATAGTTACAACGGCTACTCCACCCTTCGAACCGAAACGCATTGCTGCTTCACGGCGGAAATAGGCGGGGTGGTGGTACCTACCCGTGCGGACTCCCAAGAGGTCCTACTACCAGTCAAATACGCGAATTCGCGAATTCGAATTGTTATCGGATAAAGGGCATTTGTTTTAGTTCATAACCGCTATCGGCCAAGTATGAAAATAAAATAAGAGCAAGGTCGTTGAGTGGGCGTGTGATGCAATTTGTAACCTAGTCGCTTTCCCATTGTTTTGCCTTGATTCCCGCAGTGAACTGCCTGTCTAGGACTTGAATACATACATTGTTTTGTTTTTATGAGACTACGTGACGAGTAATGATTTAATAAGTAAGATATACTCACACAATAACTTCGTTTGCTGTTAGTTTGTTTATGTAAAATCTGAGAAAACGCATCTAGAATAACGTTTTATTTTTTATTTCCAACCAATGCAGATCGAATTAGCAAATTATTAACATTTCAATTAACAGAGATAGCAATTGCAGCAACGTTTCGGAATTTTAGGTTTCAAATGATATTTAAGCTTAATGAATCGTGATCTGAGAAGCCTTGTCGTTCATTCGCAGTTAAATCTCACATAACATCACCGGTAACAGTAATTGTTGACTAAAAACGTAATGAGTGTGGGTGGATGTTAAAACCCCGTTTATGGTACAAAGAACTCTGAGTTTGTTGGCTTTTGGCCTTGGTTAGTAGGTATGTTATGGAGGAAGTTTTTTTTAAGATATTTTTCCCTATATAATGTCTATCACGATTTAAATATAACATTAAACTTTAGTATAAATATTTGAAAGTAAAAAAAAAATACGTCTTCAATTAAACTGGCATTGTAAAAATGTAATCCTTCGTTGTAGCTGATTTGTTACAGAAAAACCAATTTGTAGCTCTAACCATTTAAAAAAGATTACGAGCTTAAAATTAAATCGGTAGTGTCACATTATCGGCATGGGAAATAGGGAGTAACTGATTCAAAAATATTGAGTTACTTAATGTTAATGAGCTAATGAGTTTGCTTTTGGCTATAATTAAATATATCGTTTTGCGTAGTCGAAATCATTCGTGTGTATTATCTATGGTCGAAACGAAATTATAAGCTGCCATTCTATTCTTTTTTATCTCTCGAGCCACAAAAATTAAATTTACTAGAACAAGTTAACAACGAAACATGAGTCGACTATTATCAAAGGCGGCAATCTGACTTTTGGACAATGATTGGTAAATCAGAAAAACGAATTATTGACTTTGTATTCCATTGGCAGTCACAAAACTCTTCGGAACGACATCTTAGATAAATAACAGGTTAA